TCCGCCTTCCGGGTTCAAGCCATCTTCCTGCCTCAGGCTCCCAAGTAGCTGGGATTACAGGCACGCCCCATCACACCTGGCTGATTTTTGTATTTTTACTAGAGACGGGGTTTCACCATATTGGCTAGGCTGGTCTTGAACTCCTGACCTCAAGTGATCGGCCTGCCTCGGCCTCCCAAAGTGCTGGGATTACAGGCATCAGCCACTGTGGCCGGCCTGGTATCTGCATTTTTATGAACAGCCCAGGAGGGTGTAATGCAGAGTCCTTGGCATGCACTTTCAGCAACACTGCAGTAAGGACTAGAAATCGCACATCAAATGCTGGCAGAGTGCTTGGGTGCTTAGTAGGTGCTTAGCGAGTGTTTGTTGAGTGAATAAATGAACAGGAATGGATGGAGAATAGGAACATCCAAAGGAATGGATGAGTAACCTTATTTCCTTGGTCCTTGTCTGGAAACTGGGGCAACTGGGGCTGAGGTTCAGGTGAGTGGCCAGCCAGTCATCTGGTCTTTGCCTCTCCCTCATTTTCGCCAGGCCTCACCTAGAGGTTCAGCCATTGGATTATAGGAACTGCCCTGGCCTGACTCACCCAATATGGAGGAGGTGCCTGGGGATGCCCCCTGTGAACACTTTGAGGCCAACATGCTTACCCAGAACCACCGTCAAAACTGCTTCCACCCTGAGGAGGCCCACGGAGCAAGATACCAGGTGAGCCAGTTTTCCACGTGGTTGAGGTGGTTTGGGATGGGGGCATGGGTGAAGGACTGGGCCTGTGATGTCCGCTAACTCACAGTTGAACCCAGATGCTGACCTTCCTCCTGGCCAGAGCCTCGGTTTTCCCACATTGCAATGAAGTGGTTGAACCATGTGAATGTTTCACAATCTTCAGTCACTTTCCTCCTGCTTATATGATACGATTGTTACCATAGCCTCATCTAATCTATTACTTACTTTGTTAGTCTTTAAATCAACATCTTTTTCCCCTCCTATTGTAAAAAAACTTCACATCATCAACACAAGTAGAAAACTATAATTATTTCCTGTGTATATAAAGTTAAGGAGAAAGGTAGAGCCTGGGCACAGAGGCTCACACCTGTAATCCCAGCAGTTTGGGAGGCCAAGCAGGTGGATCATCTGAGGTCGGGAGTTTGAAACCAGTCTGGCCAACATGGTGAAACTCCATCTCTACTAAAAATACAAAAATTAGCTGGGCACGGTGGTGCATGCCTGTAATCCCAGCTACTCGGGAGGCTGAGGCAGGAGAATCACCTGAACCTGGGAGGCGGAGGTTGTGGTGAGCTGAGAACACGCCACTGCACTCCAGCCTGTCTCAAAAAAAACAAAGCAAAGAAGAAAGGTAGAAAAAGAAAAAAAAAAACAGAAATGTCATTAAACCCTAACTCGAGAGTGTTTTCTTTTTCTTTCTTTCTTTTTTCTCTTTTTTTTTTTTTTGGTAAGACAGAGTCTCGCTCTGTTGCCAGGGCTGGAGTACAGTGGCGTGATCTCAGCTCACCACAACCTCCACCTCCTGGGTTCAAGCAATCCTCCCACCTCAGCCTCCCAAGTAGCTGGGATTACAGGTGCCTGCCACCATGCCCGACTAATTTTTGTATTTTCAGTACAGACAGGGTTTCGCCATGTTGGCCAGGCTGGTGTTAAACTCCTGACCTCAGGTGATCCACCTGCCTCGGCCTCCCAGAGTGCTGGGATTACAGGCATGAGCCATTGCACCTGGCCTCGAGAGTGTTTTCTTTTCTTTTTTTTTTTTTTTTACGAAGATTGAATCTGCTTTATTTATATACACAATGGGGCAGCCTAATGCACATCATAACATTAACTTTTCCAAACAAGTTTGCTAAGAAACTGCTCCTATATTTAGTGTTAAAAATAAAACAATCTTCCCATTTAGAAAAATCAAGACATCAGTCAATTAGTAAAGCCTATTCTTCCTCCCAGCAATTTGTACTTTCTTGTATTCATTTAGGAATTGTGAATTCATGAGAAAAGAACAC